GAATCTCTTCAACGGGAACGGCTTGAGGAGCAGCGATGCCTCGCTCAGGCGCGGCGTCATTCCCGGATATGACATGCAGTCCGAGCGGGAGAGTATCGTTTAAAAACCGACAGTGATACTTTGGCCGATCTGTCTCGTTTTTTTTTTTTTTTTATCGCTGGGGACGCTACCGACGTTTGTTATTGTTTATATTGAATGGTATAGCTCTTACTGTGATAGGGGGTCGTGCGCGACGTTGTTTATTGTTTTCGATGGTGGATTTACCCTGGCTTATCTTCGAGACTTGGTGATATTCTTAGTCTCCGAGTCGTTTGCTTTTGCTACGAAAGATTAATCAATTGAAAACAAACGCGCGCGCCTGTTTATTTTTATTTTATTTTTTTTTTTTTTTATCGACTCGGCGGGGAAAATAATTTTTTAATTTATTAAAATTATTTTCAGCGCTTCTATAAGCAGTGTAAGATGTAAGCTACTAAAATATATCTTTGAGCTTATTCTTTAGAGATAATTTCTATCGATGGCAATTAATTAAGGAACAACGTAAAGTGTAATTACCCTTTTATTCCGATTATTGTTGAAGGATAATGCTCGATAATAAATTATGGTATGATTTAAAATTTTCACTTTTAAAATGCATCGATGGGCTACAAATTAGTTTTTCTCCATTGTCGAATAGTTCAAAAAATAATCAAATTTGAGAAATTGTGCGCAGATAACAATATGATTATGTTGCTACGAGTGCATTTTAAATGCTGTAGAATTTGTTGTATAATTATTGATCAGGTATTATTATTATCTTTAACAAAATATGAAAATAAAAACTTCGATTTCTGTTATTATGAATTTTTTTTATAACCAGGGTAAATCTGTCTCATTGTTACATACTTAACGTTTGGAAAAATACTACTTCCAAAATATAAGTAAATACATTTATATTAAACGTTCATAGTAAACTATAGTATATAATAATATTAACAGCAATGAAATCAAATTTTAAATATAGTTTGAAATTAAAAAAAAAAATATATATATATGTGTACGTATGTATATTTTTATGAATACGTGAGAGCGCGCGCGCGCATATGCATATATATATATATATATATATATATATATATATGCGCCTGTAGACATTCTTAGTTTGATAATCAAACTGAGAGAGAGAGGACATTTTGTTTTTCGAGTAATCGAGAGCATGATTTAGCGTTGCCATTTTTTCTTTCTATTTTTTAGCGTATATGTGCAATTCTCCCTGTTTTCTTCCTTTTTCCACTTACTCCTGTCCTCTTCTATTGTATATGAGAGTTACCGATAGTGTATATTTTTAATACCTGTTTATTTTATAAAGATGAACTATATTGAGAGTCTGCATATATAGATAATGACGATATAAATGAATAAATTTTTGCGCGAACTACGAATGGGTTACTGCACTTGTATAACATATATATATATATATATATATAAATATAGTGGCAATTATATATACACACGCGACTTACGCGCATGCATACACACGCACACACGGACACACAGATGTAAATACAAATATGCATATGAACATAGCGTGTTGTGTATTAGTGTGTGTAAGTCGGTACGTATGTGCGACTTTTATTTTGAGAATACTGCAAGCAGACGATAATAGGGAATGAATTTCTGTACTAGAAAAGACAATTATTCTAACCAAAGTATATATAAATGTAAAATGAAACGAACGGAATATTTTTTTGTTATTGTTGTTGCGTTGGCATGAACAAATTAATAAGATGGCAGTAATTAATAAGAATGATGAATAAAAATTTTTTTCACATAGCACTTATGTAAACATGTTTATGTACATAAAAGGAGAAACAGAATATATATAAAGCAACATATTCACTGACATGTGATATGGATATATAGACGTACTATAAACTGCACGTGTGTGTACGTATATCTATATGTATTTATATTTGTTCACTGAAGGAAAGCAAATTATCCACATGGCTGTGAAAAGTGAACTGTACCGTACCTAAGGTGCTTAGTAATATATGATGTTATCAAATGTATATAACTGAATAATAATATATCGATGTAAAAATATTATGTAAATTAAAAGCAAGTTATCATCTTATATGTAACAGTCAATTAAACTTGTACATTTTGAAGCATTGTTTTATATTTTTTTCATTTCTTTACATGTTCATTTGCTAAATTTTATTTATTTTACAGTATTAGATTATTATATGTTCAATTACAACTTACATTTATGCTATTAATATTAAGATTCATGACCAGAATAAAATTTCGTTAAGAAAGTAGCTGGTTTCTCAATATTATATTTCGTGAAAAGATTTGAAACACCGCCACAGGTCATTTGTCTCCTGTATATTTCCACTCTTAACATATTGCCCTGAAATGGTACAATTGTATCAAAATACATAAAAATATCATACATAGTTTTCCATTTGAAAATAGATTTTAAATTAATAAATTTAACTTATTTAAAGAAAACAAGTAATTACATACTATGCAATATAGATATTAAATAAAAAATAGATAAAAAGCAAACATTGATATTTTAAAAAAAAAAAGCAAGACGTTGTACCTATAAAGTATTACTATCGATAGAAATATCGATAGAAAGTATCGATAAAAGTGACACATTTTAAAAGTTCTATACTCACTTACTTTATCCTTTATTTAATAACCTTCATAATTACCTTAAAGACATATGTGTTGATTACCCTTAAATCTGAAATGTCTTTATTTTTAATGAATTCATCTCTAATTTGCTGTCTAATTTCCGGCATAGTTTTTGGAAAGAAAAATAAACCAAAATATGCTGTAAAATTATAATAAAATTTCTCTCAGCAATTAAAATAATTAATACTAAAGAGACATACATATTTATTACCCTTTTAGGTTACGGAATGTTTACAAAAACTTCAAAAGTACGTCTTTAAAGACAAGTGTTTAAATAGTTCGTATAAATTTAATATATTGTACAAAAGAAACGTAAATAAGTGGCGTTCTATTAAAAAAATTAAATTAGATTGAAAAATAAATAGAAATTTGAGGTTAGCTAATAAGAGAACCTGTGTATTATAATTTCCTGATTGTTAAACACAATACCTGCGTGTTTCACAGCATAAAGAAGATTTTTGTATAAAGACAGGACTTGAATTCTTGATGCTTTTTTAGTTAAAGTTGTCAATGGCTTAACTTGACGGGAAACGAGTGGCAATTTCGACATTTTCTTATCAAAAAGGAATTACTTTTAACTGCACGCCCCCTATTAAAATTAAAGTACATTAAATTTAAATGGAAAGACGAGAATTTATAGAAACATGTGGGAGCGCTCACTTGACTCAGTGGAATCAATTTCAATTCATATTATACAAAAACCACAGAATCGATATTCTATTTACCAATTTTTTAATTAATTCTACGCTTTAAATGCTCGATGCAACTGCAGCAAAAATATTACGTAACGCTTACTGATAAAGAAAAGAACATTACTGATTGCTAGTTCGTTTAATTAAAAGAATTAATTATATAATGAATCATCCGTAGTAATCGGTCCCCCATCAATTATATCATTATAAATATAATATTGTTTTAACGTTTCAATAAGATAATTAAGTATATTCTAAACCACATTTATAGCTCAAAAGCGCAGCTCCTTCTATTATTAATCTTAATAATAAAAATATATGAAGTATTATTATAAAATATTTAACGAAAATATAAAAAGAAATAGTAAAATGATATATATTCATTAAAATTATAAGATTTTTAAAAACATCTATCTTCACTATTATCATATATGATGATATTTTTAGTGATAAAGGCATTCATTAATATTATAAAACATCGATATAGATATTCTTGTAATTGTGTAAAAATTTTCTTTTACAATACTATTTAACATTTTATGGCATTTATGTAATAAAGTACACTTTTGTCCGAATATGATTGTACTAATAATATTTATGCTTCAATAGGTAGATATTGTATCTTTTAGAAAAATAAATTACTTACGATATTTAGCGTCGATAATTAATATCCTTGGTTTTTTTTTTTTTTCTTTTTAATTTTATGACAATTATTTTAAAGGTATAAGATAGATAATAAAGAAAAACAAAGAAAGTATATAAATATATTTTTTTATTTCCATGCACATATACGATATTTTTTAAATTTCAAATAAATTAATAAATGATTATTTCTTACTTGTTAATGTTTTTTCAATATAAAACATAACTATAATATAAATTAACTATAATAGTTTCGACATATTCATATGACTTTGTCTTATTGTTATAAATAGATGTAAAATATAGGTATTATAATAATTTAATTTCTTAATCTAAGGTCTTATAATTTACATTATTAAAATGAAAAAATATATTAAAAAAATATGTCTCTTAAGCTATAGAAACTATTGTAATAGTGTATTATAATTGATATGAATACTAAGCATTTTATTATACAGAATGTATGTACAAATATTAAAAATAAAATAAATAACAATGATTTGTTTAAATAAAAATTGTAAATATAGCTTTTGTAAAAATAATAATTCATTTTTTATTCAATATGTTATAAATGCATAACAATATTATATAATAATTTTATTCAATTTCATAGTAAAAATGGATGCATAATCTTTATTTACAAATCTACTTTGCATTAATTAAAGGTACGATATACTGATACATTTGAGAATTCAAAGATTTGATATTTCAAAAATATTACGGCAAACTATATATATATATAAAATTTTTTGAAAATTTAACTGTTTAATTGAGATATTAGGAAAGATATGAAAATAATATTAAATGGCTTTTAGACAACTAAATGTAATTAAATTTATCCTGATGGAAAATATACTGAAATTCATTCCTTATGATTATGTTATTGTAATATCTGTGGTTTTATTTTTCATAAAAATTTAGTATAATTAATACAGAAAGTAATGTTTTAATAAATTATAAATATTTAAAAGCATATTTTATTAAATAAATTAAAACTACTTTAAACTTATATGTGATTATAATTAAAGTGTCAGTATACTGTATCCTTAGTATTCAAAGTGACCTTATCAAATAAACACCGATTATCAATGTATCGAATCTATTACAAAATTACGCTAGACCACTTTAATCATAATCTTTGTCAAAACGATCATCATGTTCCGAAACTCTGCTACAAGTGTTAGGTTTCGAAGACCACACTTGCTCGTCAGTTAGTTTATCCTTCCTACCTCTAGGAGATCTTCTATTACTTTTATCTTTTGTGCTGTCCGTTGCTCCAGTTCCTCGAATAGCTCGTGGTACAGAATATTTCTCATTAACTGTACTGTGTTCACTTTTTTTATCGGATGCAAAATCCGAACCTTTTCCCTGCTTATTGGATTTCATCGAAATACCTTCAGAATTATTAACTGCACTAGATGATACAGCCTTATTCTCTTGTGCATCCTTATCTAAAATGCAAAATTATTAATTCACATAATTATTTAAATGCATATTTAAAATTTTGAATATATATAGTTTTATTGTGGTTTACAGTTAACGTTATTTTTTAATTTTGTATTAGTGATTGAATTCGCATCGGGTCGCTGAACGTGCGAGAATAAATGAACACCAAGCTCTTTACTATAAAATTCGTGCAGTTTTTCAGGAAGTTTTGTATAACTTTTATTAGCTATTTCCATTATACATAGTAACATTCCTCGAGATCTTGCACTTAAATTACGATGGATTAACACCGATCTGACTTGCATAACAAATTCCTCCATATTACACTGATACTCCATCCATAATTTACGACCATTAATACAGAGCTGAAAATATTAGATTAATATTTTAACGATTTTATTCTTCAAATCTACACTCAAATAGATATATTTCATTAACTTTGAGCTATTGCACATATATATATATATATATGCAAATAGTGTAAAAATGTAAAAATAGAGAAAATTAATTTTTCTTTTTTGAAATTATGTAAAAGAAACGATCAAAATATCTAAGGACATACTTAATTTTGTACACATCATTTGTTATTATTTATAAATTGTTGAATAGCCACTATTGGAAATTTACTATGCTCTAACAACTATTCCCGTATAATAATGTATTTGAAAACTATCGTAATAAGTAAGCTTAAGACTAAAATGATATCATATCATCGAATCGTAAGCTTCATATTATATTATGGTTTTAATTATTTATATATATATATATATATATATATGTGCGTGATAATTTAATGTATAATACCTGGGTCATTGTTATTTCTATATCCTCCTCTTCCGAAGCTTCCAAAAGCATTTGAAGGTAATTCAGAAGAGGTAGTGCCAAAAATTGCAGGGGACCAGAAATTATTAGACTATTATATAACTCCCCTAAGAATACTATCGCATTACGAAAATGAACGATATTCTGCTGTTTTAACTTTTCTCTATCTGCAAGTATTAAAAGCTTTCTATTTAGACAGATTTGATTAGCGAGAGAGAAAAAGCAGAAGAAAATGGAAAAAAGAAAAACATTAGTAATTATTAAAGTACCTTCGTAATCTCTCTGTGTTATTCCCAATATAATTTTTCTAAATTGATTATTCTTAATTGAATACAACTTATAATCGCTACAAACAATCGCTAATTTTAAACAGAATTGTCTATCTTCTAAAGCTTGCTTATAAAGGGCATTAAAAACATCTCTAAAAAAGTAGAATAAACAAAATTAATGAAACGATTAAGTATCAATTAAGCATCAAGAAGTACGGCAAAACTATTTGTTATTACTCGATTGTATTATTTTCCAATGCCTCCTTCACTCTCTCTGAAATTTCATCAATTCCAGATCCAGAAATTGCATCGCTAATAACAATATTATCGATCAAATTAATAATATCATTAAATTTTGATAATATTGGCTGACCAGGTCGACGTAATGAAGTTTCACGAACTTCCGCAAAACCTCTACCCTTTCCTCTTCCAACAACTGCCATATTTTAACTAAGGCGTGCGTATTATTAACTACTGTAATTTATATAATTCTTTTCAAATTAAGATATTAATTTTATGAAAGCTAATAAATATGATCATAAATTATATTTCGTAGATATAGCTTGAAGTGAAATAAAATTGACTGTAAAGAAAAATTTATTATAAGTTTCCTTCCAAAAATAAGATATTCGTCGAGTACTGAACAAACGTACCTGTCCTCGCCGCATCGAGTACTTCTTCGATTATAAACAGCAATCGTTTTAAATGAAAAATATAACAGCGGTCTCTCTTCCTTCCCTCCCTAATGATCGAGTTATACCTGTGTATAAGAAAATTACTAAATCTCCTCCCGTCTCTCGAATAACGGTTTAATAAAATATAAAAATGCCTCGAACTTAACCTGCATACATTCGACTTAAAGAGACGAAACTATGAAATTAAGGATTAGGACCGCAAGTACATAATCAAACAATTGTAGCGGATTATTTATTGGATTCACTCGACCCACGAAAGTGCGAATTAATATACAGTCGTATCAGTATGAATAATTTGTCCAATTTCAGTAGCCCTGTATTTCAATTTTTTAAATCACAATTTTTTAAGATTAAAACCAAAAAAACATTTAACGTCATAGGCATCCCCGATTCATTCGAGAATTACGGTCCTCGTAATAAATAAGTTTGTCGTTAATTTTAATCGTTTAAGACTGCGAAATCGCACGAAGCACTCGAGGTAGTAAAATAAAATTTAAATCACTTTCTACGCAATGATAAAATATTATTTTTAAAATAAAAGGAAAAAGGGAGAGAAATTAGGACTTTGAGAAAAGAAAAGAATTTTAGGAAAGATCTATTTACAATCGATTATTTAAGGCACACTTTTCTTTCTTGCTAAGGTTTAATTGATTATCTCCTGCCGGCCAATTACGATAACATGAATACTCAATCGCATTTTCTCGCAACTCACGATTATCTAATAAAGTATGAAACATTTGCTAACAACAACAACAACAACAACAACAACAAAAATTTCACTTTATAAATACAGCCGAATAAAATTAAAATTCGAAATATATATATGGTTGTTAATGTTAAACCTAATGAATATTAAATGAGGATATTAAAATTAAGATTTTACGGATACTTCTATTATCCCTTCGTACATTAGGCTAAAAAAATAAAAAATAATTATATCTATATATCTAAAGAATAATTATATCTTATATTGAAGATTATCAACGAAATCAAATGCCACCAATTTATTGCTGACTAAACAATAAAAAAAAAAAAAAAAAAAAAAAAAAAAAAAAAAAATTGAAAGCCCGTAACGCGGTGTGGCGCATTTGGGCTTTGGGAGATCGCGTTTCATGGCCATCGCGCAAAAATCTAGGCGCGCGTGATTTTAAAGATAGCGCAGTGATATAGGGACGCAAGAGTTTATAAGCGTTTAATACCCGCCCAAGTCGAGTTATTTTTATAAATTTGAGCTGGTCGTTCGAGTCATAAATGAAGGGCACAATGGATTTTGTAAAATTATAGCCAATATAGACTATAAAGAGGTAGAAATACCTGAGCATGGAATTAATAGTCAGCGGCATGATAACACGAAGACATTACAGGGGCTAAATACTTGGATGACACTTTGGTTAATCGTTGACGTTAGGTACTCGTTCATTCTAAACAGAGTCAATGAAATAAATAAAAAAAATAATAAAAAAAAAAAAAAAGAGAGAGAGAGAGAGAGAGAGAGAGAGAGAGAAAAAAAGACACTATTCGATAACGAGTAGGCAAGTGTACATAAGTGTCTCGAAATTAAGGTGTCAACGTATAAATCGTAAAGCAAGTACGTCACCTGCTTATCCGATGCTTTAAAGAGGACCAGCTAACATTTACAATCTTCGTTATATTTTTGTATTCTATTTTATATTCTAATTGTATTCTATTTTTGTATTTTAAATTTCTAGATATCATAATTCCCTCTCATTTCAGCTGATATTCCAGTCGGAAAGGTCTAGGATGTAATGTTACTTACAGAGACGCGAGTCGCACGCTCAGGCGGAAACGGGCGGACTCGCGTATAAAACGGAAATCTCTCATTGCGTGAAAATTGTAAACATGGTTGTGGTAAGTTTCGCTCCTCGTAGTTTGATTAATTAATATCGCAAGCCATCATTAATTTCGGAAAAATTATTCGTTAATTGAGCGTGGAGAATGTTGTTCTCCATTATTAAAATTGTCGTTTTACGTATGACATTATGATGTATTTGGATGAGGTGGATAATTTTGTAATGACAGTGAGCGACATAGTTACGTTGGTTCTCGACATAACCTCTCTTATTGTAACAAGCATCATTAATCAGTGCTTTTACTTCTGATGTTTTATAATTGTAATTGGCCCGTAAGAGATAAAAGACGAAATTTAGATGAAAAATGATTGAATGTCAAAATGGTTTTTTAGTAACACTTCCATTATAATTTGTTTATTCGAAGTGATGGTCTTATCGGTATGATCGGTACGTTGAGCTTGGAAGATTTCACATTTTTAATAAAGTTTGTTTTGTTTGCGTGCAGGCTACCAAAAAAACCAATGTACCTAAGGTACAGGTCAGCAAAAAGCAGCACCTTCGGGGTAAAAGTCAGAAAAAAAAAGTTTCCCTAAAGTTTACAATTGACTGTACACATCCAGTCGAAGATAATATTATGGATGTAGCCAACTTTGTAAGTACATCTGGTAGTATTGAACTATTAGTTCTTGCAATTATACTTAAGATTAGGTTTATTAAGACAAATAGTTGTGTTTTATCAAAAAAAAAAAAAAAAAAAGTTAACAAAATTTTAACAAACTTTTCATGATAAATCTTGAATGATTATTATAAAGTGTAAGATACACTGCGCTATTATATAATTATCAAATAATAGTCTTTTAAATTGTTGGATATTCTAGATTAAATGCAAATGTACAGTAAGAGAAGGTGCATTTTAAAATGTAAATAAATTAACAAATACATTCTTCTAATGTATTAAAATTAAAAAATTGTAAGTCAAATAAGTAATGTATAATGCTATAATAATCAATAATTCATTTCAATATTTCAAACGATTAAAGGATAAATAATATAGACTCGTATATATCATATGTTATTTAAATGTTTGTTATATATTTTCTTAATGTTACAAAATAATTGGATGATTATGCGTGCAAGAAAATAGAACGATGAATTTTCATTTCATTGTGACACACTAAGAGAAATTGTTCATAAAATGTTTAGAATTGAATGACGGAAAATATTCTGTCATTGATATAATTTTAAATTTGATTAAACATTTATGTATTTACTAAATATACTTGATACTCGTCCGCTGATATTATAATTTTATTGCAGGAAAAGTATTTGCAGGATCGTATTAAAGTTCATGGTAAAACAAATAACTTTGGAAACAATGTTACTATCGAGAGAAACAAAATGAAATTGTCCGTGAATAGCGACATCGACTTCTCTAAAAGGCAAGTGTTTTATAATTTTTTGTAATAAAACACAATATTAAAAGCAAACTAAATTTGCATAATAAACAAAATCATCTTAAAATAATATATTAGAATGACACTTAACAGTATAAAACAGCAAAGGCTTACTGTACGAAAATTTCAAACATTTCACCTATTCCATGTAACTCTCTTACGCTTTAAATTATTTTTTACGCTAAACAGTTAAATTTAACTAAACGCAGCACATAAGAATGATATTTGCACTAATTGATGAAAAAAATGTTTCATAGGTATCTCAAGTATTTAACAAAAAAATACTTGAAAAAGAACAAACTGCGCGACTGGCTTCGCGTAGTTTCCAAAGATAAAGAAACATACGAACTTCGTTACTTCCAGATTAATAGTCAAGAGGACGACGACGAAGAAGATGTTGAGTAATATCCTTTTAATTTGACAATTATATTATAACATCTGTACATATATTGGATATTAATAAATATCTAAGAAAAATTGATTTTTAAATATTTGTTAGTGTAGTATATTTATTTAAGTGACATGATCGATTTAGATACACAGATAATTGTTCCGTGTATTTAAGGTTATTCGATGCGGCATTAGTCGTTGATTTGGTACTGTTACTAAGTAAATTTTGCATAATTTTAATAAAATGTTCTGCTAGCTAAGTAATTGTATCATATCATACAAGTAGGCTACGCTTCATCGCATCAATGTGTTAAGAAAATGTCTTAATTAACAATAACAAATGATGCAAGAATAGCACTTATCAACATCTCGCTTATTAAAAAAAAAAAATAATAATAATAATAATAATAAAAAAACAAGACGGATGAAAATAAATTTAAAAATTGTTTTATACACTGCTTGTAGATCAATTAAAATTGGAAATTGAATTATTTTCTTTTCACTCTTGCGCGAACCTGCTCCATCACGTTTGATCCACGACATTATTAGGCAGAAATTTATAAATATAATTAGCTCGTAATTATATACTTCGTTAAAATGATTGCGCATCCGTTCAAACTATAAGGCGCTAACGTGTTTCCAACGCGAGTTTCAACTTGTTTTAGAAAAATAAAAAAAGCTATTGCATCCAATGGTATTGGAAATATTGGAATGACATTCCAACGATTGTTCGTTTCCCTATGGCTTTTGACGGCTTCGCATGAATTTAGAATGTTTATAAATTAAATGTCGGGGCGGGGGGGGGCGGCTGAAAATGAGCGAATTAAATGTAATAACATTAATTAATCGATTATCAAGAGATTCTGCAAATTTCGTGCTCGGGAAGACCAGCTTAAGCTTCAGTCTATCAGCGGCCCTTATAAGAATAAAAAGTCTTTTTTACGCATGTTTGTCAAGGCTATCAGTGTGACGACGGATGAAAAAGAAACAAGTAAGAATAATGAGAAAGAGAGAGAGAGAGAGAGAGAGAGAGAGAGAGAGAGAGAGAGCGACATAGCCGATATCTGATAAAAGAAGGAGTATAGCAGTTGTGCAATGTATGTGTATATGTAGCGACGATGAATTTCATTAGAAAGTCGGCGGCAGGTATGATTATGTTCGAATGCCAAAGGAAGTTTCGCAAACGCACTGCTGCTGCTGCTGCTGCTGCTGCTAGCCAGGCCTCGTGCCTCGTCGCATTAAATTACTGTCAAAAGAAGGAAAAAGAAGGAGTTAGTTTGGGAGGGGGGCAGCCGAGGGGCTAATTATCGCAATTGTCGTTCGTTGCATATTCGAAAATCGAAGGATCCTACTCCTTCTCCCCTTGCCCCGTCAAACGGCCACGACCTGCCGTCGCTCGATTTCACTCGCGCAGCACATCGTACCTCCCACCAGTTTTTCCGCCACTTCTCACCGACGTACGACGCTCCTTCACGGGGCTCGCGCGTGTTAGTACCCGCCGTTTCGCATTGCCAGCGTAAGAAAGAGTGCGGCGGTGGTGGTGGCGGTGGTGGTGGTGGGGGTGGTGGTGGTGGTGGTGGTGGCGGCGGCGGCGGCGACTGCGTCAAGTCGGGCCTTGGGTGGAGGGGAGCAGAACAGAGTAATCGTAACGTGACGCTAACGCCATGGCTCGTCACGTACACTAGTCAGTTTCGGTTGTGCTCCCGTAGTAAAGCGGTGTGACGTCACGGTAAGAGCCCCAGTCGCGATCAAGAATCACGCGCTAGTAGTTCGGTGGTAATAATAAAGGCGCGATCTCGTCTCTTGCTTCTCTCTCCCTCTCTCTCTCGCGCGATTCTCGGTTGGCCTTTTTGTTGCCTGGCGCACTTGGTATTTCCTATTTTGGAGAGCGGTGACGAGAAGAGCAGCCGTCGTCTCGTCGTTTGACGGGCGCAAGGCGCAGCGCATAAGGTTTGAAGCGCGCGCCAAGGACGTGCGACGACGAGCCCCGTCGCCATGAAGTTCCAGTATAAGGAGGAGCACTCCTTCGAGAGGAGGAAGATCGAGGGCGAGAAGATACGGAGGAAGTATCCGGATCGGGTGCCCGTGAGTATCGGTGTCAGTGATACGTGTAGTGATAAGGAAAGCCGCGGCGACGACGAGCTGCGTGTTACATAAAAAAGAAAATAAATAAGGGAGTGAGTGAACGAGAGTAAGAGAGAAAGACAGGCAGACAGGCAGGCAGACAGACAGACAGACAGACAGACAGAGACGACTACTACGACGACGGAGAAATGGAGGAACGAACAGCAGCGAGGCTTCCTTGACTCTTTGTGCGTAGAAGCGATCAGGCGTCACGAGAGGGGCGCGGGTGTCGGCCTTTACACATATTAGAATCTTTGTAAAGTTTTTGCTGGGAAATGGGTAGGATTTTCCTCCCGTTGTCTGCTTTTCATCATGGCTGAAAGTATGTTTATGACGGAGAATCGAAGAGGCGCAGCAGAAGCTGTGTGTGTAACCAAGGCCGTACGAATCTCTCTCTCTCTCTCTCACTCACTCACTCACTCACTCACTCACTCACTCACTCACTCACTCTTTCTTCCTCCCACCCTTCTTTTTTTTTTCTCTTTCTTTGTCCCTCCTACTGTACATCTGTGCCTTTGTCTCTATCTTCATATTTCTTCTCGCTCTCTCATTCGCGCTCTCGATACCTAACATTTTCTGCGTCGTACGCTTTTTCGTAGTAACGATATTGGCTGCAAATTTTTCAGAAAAGCGACTATCTTTAATTCCTGTATATATTTATAACGTTAATAATGAAACAATCCTTGCGTACGTGACGACAGCCATAAAATGTTTACTGCAATTATATTCAAATATAGCTATATATGTATTTTACGTACAACTGTACAACGTAAAATGCACATTCGCAGCGTGCGCATACGGGTGTATATATATATATATATATATATATATATATATATATGCATATATATACATATATGCATACACAAGCACGCGCGCGCGCGCAAAACAACACATAGGTGGGTAGGTAGATAGATAGATAGATAGATAGATAGATACCGTGTACATATACATATTGATTTCTCTCTGGCTCAACTCCTACGTTCCCTTTTTTCTCTTCTGCAATTTTTTGTTTCTCCTCAACTCGACACTTCGCAATTGACATGTATGTTATTTCGTATTCATAATCTCATTTGTTTTCAAGTTCTTTATGGCACGGGAGAGAAATTCTCTTTATCTTTATTTTTTCCTAACGTAGTTTGGCTTGCTTAAGCTTAAGGCAAAGCCGAAAACGCCGAACACAAGTATTTTCTTAGTATACGTCTATATTGAAAGAGAAAAAAAAATTATATATTTGATTATTACGGAAGTTACGACGTAGAGCTGCAATGTACATACGCGCGCATTAAAGGAAATGAGCTATTTTGTACGAAGGGAAAATTTTAGCAAGTTTGATAAGACTTTTTTTTTCCATCCAGCTGAAAATTCAACGTGTTTTTTTTATTTAACGTAAAAATTATGCTCGCATGTAGTTCTTCAAAATCGAGATACCAAGATAGCGTTTGAATATTTCGCTCATCGAAGATTGTAAATATTTTCATGTAGAAATTATAGTGATTTAAAAATTTAATTTTTTTTTTTTTTTTTTATTTTTTTATAATGCATTGAAGTATTTTAATCTGTTCCAAATAGTTTCTTTATATTACCAATGCTATAAAATTATAAGGTTTTTTTTCAATTTTTAAAATATTATAAAAGCACATAGTGCGAACCGTAATAATCTTAGCAATTTTTACTCAAATATTTTTATTCAATCATTACCTTGTAACTAGCATCGCATGTATTTATATTTATTATAATCAATCACTAGTAATCATAAAAAATTGATTTACATGTCAACAATTTTTCAAAATAATACTACGAACTTATGCAAATCCAAAGAAATAATGTTTCAAATAAATACAAATAACTTTAATAGATCGATATAATTATGAGTAATAAACATTTTTAAATCCTATAATATCGTATAATTAATTGTCTTTATATTATTTGCTGAAATTAATTTGAAAGTCAAGTTACATTCTTTCAACAAATAGTTCACAGTAATACACTCGTCGTATGTTGTGTGTGGGTGTGTGTGCGCGCGCGCACACACTGTAATCTTTGTGTTTAGTGTTTATTATTATAATTTTTTTCTTCTACAAACAAATTACACTTTCACACATTCCCTAAATCTGTAATTATATTATTCGATAATCTAAGATTAGTATGCTCAATGTGAAAAAATTACTAATTTATCCAAAAATACACAAGCACGTCGATTGGAATGTAGTTACTTCGCGATGACTATTTAAGAGAAAGACAAACTCGTCGTATTTGACTATACTTTTTAAATTTCGCAATCGAGTTATGGCTAATGGTTAAATAAAAATCTCATTAAAGTTTCATCGATCGAAATTAATGTTTGAACAATATATAGATGCGCATTAATGTGTAATTAAAGTAACTTCGTTTCGTATCTGCTTCCACTTATTTCGTGGTACTTTTTATAATTTTTAATCTCCTTGTGTTTCTCCGATCGTTGATATTATTCTGATTTGCCTTATTTAATTATCGGCTGATTAGTAAATTTTTTATTTACGACAAATCTTCTGCTTATTATGCATTTCTAATGAAATTATAAGCAAGAAGGGCTGTTGTTATATATGTTCTTGAACGAATCAAATATATTTCCGTATTCGAATAAAATTTCTTGCACCTAAATAGAGGGAATGCGACGCAGCATAAGTATTATGCTGGCCTTATCGCATGTACACGAACAGCATTTATTCGAATTAAGTTTTACAAGATTACATTAACGTACGTGAACAAAGATATTGACATGAGATGCATTGCGTGTTCGAAATATCTCGTTAATTTTGTAATTCCAAGAGACAACACTGAACATTTAAACACGAACGTTACGGCGCATTTGTCGTATGATGAATATTGGGATAAGCTCTCCCTCTCTCTCTCTCTCTCTCTCTCTCTCTCTCTCTCTCTCTCATTAACAATTATATGCGACTACCATATTCTGTCAACAGGTTATAGTTGAGAAGGCTCCAAAAGCGAAAATCAGTGACTTAGACAAGCAAAAGTTTCTGGTACCCTCGGACCTCACCGTCGGTCAATTCTACTTCTTGATTCGCAAGCGAATTCATCTTCGCGCCGAGGACGCGCTATTCTTTTTCGTCAATAATATTATTCCGCCAACCAGTGCGACAATGGGATCGCTCTACCAGGTAAATATAATTAATTAAGGGAGCCTCTTGGGCTAATTAATGTAATCAATTGAATGTAATACACAGCCAATCAATTTTATTAGATGATTGGTCGAATGTCCGGACTTTCTTTGCACTCTCCTTAAAGCTTCTATGTTTTTCTTATTGATCGCGCTTTCGTTACGTCGTTTAAGTATTTGAATTTGCGAACGCAAAAGTGTTTGGGCGTCGTGCCATCACGTGGCCATAACGATTAAACAATAATAACCTTGTCGAGGTCGATTCATAATGCGTTCGCAAAAATAATTCGCAAAATTTAGCTACGTAGTTTTGAAAATGACGCGTGCTACTCGTTTTTTAAGCTTGAACTTGAGCGCCAAAGAAATTGCTGATGATATAATTACAGCAATCAAGTTGGATTTAAATTTATTAATGATTTAAGTGATTGGATCAATTCATATCTCGGCTATTGTTTCTCTTTTTCTTTTCGGTTTGTTTATTCTTCTACGTTGAATGGACGATGTTATTGGTCGAGGGGCCGAAGAGAAGCTTTATAGACTGTTTTAATAATTAATTAATTTAATATATGAGATGTCGAATAAAGTGTAAAGACGTGTCAGGCTGTATGCGTAAAAATAAATGCGGAAAATATCATATTGTCTGGATTACTGGTTAATTTCCTTATATTTGGCGAATAATAATTATAATTGATGAAATATAATTTCTAAAAGGCATTTTATAATAAAAAAAAAAGAATAAAGAAAGTAAATGTGTATATATATATATATATATATATACATATCAATGGAATTATTATTTAGCTCGTGCGCGTTTGGCAAAAAATCGAGAATAATCAAAATATTCGCACTTTGAGGAAAGTTTGTAATAGTTTATTAATTAAAGTTATTTGCGTAAGTCGTAATTCGCGAAGGGAATATTTATTAATCATTGTTTGTCTTTTTATCCGACAGGAACACCACGAAGAAGACTTCTTTCTGTATATTGCGTACAGCGACGAAAACGTGTACGGGCATTAATATTCGAAGAAAATAAATTCTTGCAATTAAAATCGATTGACAGCAACTTAACAAATAAAGGTCTACTATCAACACTGTAGTCTTTATAGACGCTTGAGATGGAATTAAAAAAATTGCTATCGGTTAAAGCGTTAAAATTTTCAAACGTTATGTATTAATTTAGCTTGTTTTATCAAAATAAGCATTTTAGTAATTATTTTTTGTTCGTAATTGACGTGTATGCTCTCGAGTTTTTGAGTTATGCCGCGTTTGAAAACATAGAGGATAATTAAGCGTGTGAAGTGAAAATAAGAGAAAATAAACCGAGTAAATGAACTTTAGTTGTCCGCAATGATTTATTGACATTGTAAAAAAGAATAGAAAAAAAAAAGAAAAAATGAGAAATGTGTCGATATAGAAGAGAGAGAGAGAGAGAGAGAGAGAGAGAGAGAGAGAGAGAGAGAGAGAGAGAGACAAAAAAAGAAGAAGTGATTATTGATTAAATAATTAGGGTACGCTGTCATAATTATTTACTAAATAGGATTGATTATGAGTTATATATTCGAATCTTCATGATGTATTTCTTTTATTATTTACCATTATTATCTAATGACAAAAAAAAAAAAAAAAAAATGAAAAAAAGAAAGATGAAAAATAACTACCCATCCTTGTGATATCGTTTCCTTATTTTACTTTACGAGTTTTATTTTACTTACAAATTAAAATAAATATATACATAAAAAACAAAGGAAAAATGAGATGCAGTTTTAAAATGGAAAGGAAACATTTGCAAATGACATGATAAGAAAATTACTGTAACGGCTGGTTGTGGGCCAATAAAAAAATTTAAAAACCGATCAAATGATTATTTTACTCATTCATTGCGACGTTCTCTATTTTCTATAGCATTTGTTTCTTTGAGCGGAACTTGTACGTGCCGCCGACGGTTTTTTAATAATTAATATGTTTACCGTAGCAGTCACGACATTATCTATTCCTGCCTTTTGTCAGTTTCCCTCCATTTGCCTCCTAAACAAGAGGTTCGCCGCCATTTAACATAGACTACTGTATTTTAAACCATGGAGTTTCAGAGTTACGAAGCGAATAATACAAATATCACGTCCACTACAGTCCTTTACGTTGGTTCATTGTACAAACTCTCTCAAGAAGATAGTTCTTGGATCGTATCGAACGCCTTTATTATATTCACTATGCAAACAGGTACGAGCTTTTATTTCGTACAATGTGCGCCACTACGAACCAATAACACATCTATTATACTTTCAATTTTTTTGTTCAACAATGAAAATAAATTATTTATTATTATTTTTTTTTTTTTAATGTTACTTTTGCCTAGCCCGTGTTGTTTCTTAATGTTTATTTATTTTTGTTTTTGTTTTTGTTTTTGTTTTACATTTGTTGTTCTTTTACACCATTGTTTTACGGCACGATAATCATCCCCTCTTC